TGCCAAGAAAGGCTGGGCTATTTCCATAACACTCCATCCTTCCTTAATCCTATCAGTCTGTTGCTTCGAAGTCTCCCCATTTTGTTGAGGACTTTCATCAAGCAGTCGGGGTCTCTTTGTCCCTTTTTGTGTAACCCATTATCATCTGACAATGGGTTTCTAGGAATGCCCCCTCCAGGTGCTGAGGTTTTTCCCATAACTGATCAGGGCGGTCATCATGGCCTTAAATGGGTCGATCACCCTACACTTAGGGAGTGCAACTGTGGAAGTTTTAAGGTCTGTGGAAATAACTGCCCATATTCTAGGTAGAGGAGTGATATTATAATTATTAATTGTATATCTAAAGGGTTAATATTCATATTGATGAAAAAAAAGAAAGAACTCTAATTCCAAATTCTGTTAAGCGTGCCCTATAGGGCCTTGCACAAATCATCCTGCTTATCTTGGTACTCCAGAGTCCTATCAAGTGGACTTAATAACCCTTTACCTGACAGGACTGTATGCACAGAGTGTGATGAGGGGATATAAATACAAAACATATGTATTTCAAAGTTATTTTCTCATCACGAGCTTCCAAAACCTGCTTTCCTTCAGAAGTCATAAAAATTAACTATAAACTGGGGTGAAAAAAAATTTAACTGGGGCAATATCGTCTATCTCTTCTTGCCTTATGTAGATGCTTGAGGCTATGTATAAAGGCATGTGGCACGTAGTCTTGAGCAGCTCTTTACTGACAGAAGCACATTTTCATGAAGCTCTGGACCATGAGTGACCAAGTCAGAATAAAATTAGCATAGCTAAACAAGAGATCCTGTGTCAGTTACTGTCTTGAATTAAATATGTGATAATTAGATTTCAGTGGAATATGAGTCTGATGCTTTTTTATATCTTGGGATGGGGGTTCTTGTGCGTGATTGTTTTTGAGGTATGCACAACATTAAGTCGAAGCAGATCCTTCTCCGTAAATAGTTTTAGTAAAACATCCGTACTGCCAGTGCTATTGCTTCTGCTACTGATATACAGCCAATCTTTGTCACACAAATTTTGTGTTAATATTTTATTTTGCATCCTAAAGATGCATGAAATTCACTGCAAGAAGAGTGCATCTGTATTCTACAATGTTAAGGGTTAAAAGAACTGCCTGGACACTCTGGGTGCTTGTCAAGACAAGCTGGAAAGAAGCAGAGGTCTGTGAATCAAGGTTATTTGTTTGCATTCTTTCAGTTATCTCTTCCTAAACAACTGGAGACATTTTGGATAAACTGTCATACACTTTGCTGCTGTTTGGCGTGAAAAACTGTAAGACAGGTGAAAGATACCATTTTTCACTGACATGCACATCAAGGAAAATTATTTAAGGGCAAATGGGAAGATACTTCCAGATACTGGAGTGTGACCCATAGGAAAAAAAACCAAACAAACAACTGTTTTTACAAGGAATTCTGTAAAAGTAGTAGCATACTGGAATGATGTTTAACTTGCTTCTCTTTAAAAACAAACAAAAAATCAGGCTTTCTTTGTTCAAACAATCCTCATCTTTTAATCTCCTATCATAAAACTCTAATAATTTTAACTTTTCAAATTTTAACTCTTCAGTCCTTTGTTCAGTGTAGCAGATCTCTGCCTTTTTTCAGTCTTGTCTCATGTTACAGGATGTAGTCTTGGGTTCTAGTTTTATAAAGACAGTGTTATGCCAACCAGGATTTATTTGCTTCCCCTGTGCTCTAATCCCATGCACCAATTCTTTCTTAAATCTTATTTGCTATTTCTTAATACTCTCTTTTAATTGTACAAGCCAAATAAAGCAATGTTGACTTTGAATGGGTCAGTATTAACTTACAAATAACTCTAGAATCAATTTTCTGGGCTTCCTAATATATTTGAGTTGGAATAGTAAGTGCATGATGCAGATAATGATGGATAGGACTTCAAAATTGTATACAATCTCATATAATCAGAATAGTTTGGGGTTGGAAGGGACCTTTAAAGATCATCTAGTCCAATCCCCGTGCCAGGAGCACTGACATCTTCAACTAGACTAGGTTGCTCAGAGCCCCATCTAACCTGAAATGTTTTCAGGGATCGGGCATCCACCACCTCTCTGAGCAACCTGTGCCAGTGTTTTACCACCCTCATTATATAAAACTTCTTTGTATATCTAAAAGAATATATTAGATTAAGATTATCAGACCCAAAACTAGAGAGATTGATCTTCACATTTAAGAAAATAGATTTTCTAATAAAAATCAAAGCATTCAAAATTCATATTGTTTAGTGATACTTAGGTCGCCTCTTCCTGGCATGAGAAAGATTTTTGTAAGATTGCAGAACTTCAATTGTATTATTTATGTTGTTGTTGCTGTTGTTGTTGTTGTTGTTTTTTATCTAAATGATCCTCTATCTCTTAAGGTAAAAACTCACTAAATTTCTCTAATGACTGTGAAGTTGTTTCAGTTTCATGTGTTTCAAAGAAACTAATTCTTGCCTTCAGATATTTTTTAGCATTGATTGCTAAATATATCAGCTTTCCTCTTTGGGATCTTAAAAAGCATTAAGATTCCAATGGGCTCTTTTCATTCGTTCTTCACCACTTCTTTTGCCCTGACACCACTTCTGAGCCCTGGCATCAAATTATACTGGTTGTATCTCCCTTAATTATTTAAAATTAAATTTAGATAATTTGTTTTTTCTGTAATAAAAACAATTTCATACATTCTTTACCTTATCAGTAAAAAGAAAATCTAAAAATTTAAAATTCAAAGAAGTATTTCACATATATCTCTCCAAGGCTTCTCTGATGAAGTATTTTTAGCGATTAGGTTGTTACTATGGATGTTTCCCTTTTTTTAACAGATTGTCACACAAAACAACGGTTTAAACTGAAATGTGTTGGATAAAGCTTGCAGGGTATGAACAGGCAGGGCTGACCTCCAGTTGGAGCAGTTGTGATGCAAATATGAAAAAGTCTTTTGAAGGCTCCTTGCAGCCAAACAGAGAAATACCCTTTTTCACACCAGTTTCCACATGGAAACTGGGAGTTTGGCACAGACCACTAAAAATTTTAAAGCTTCATGCAAGCAACATCCACTAAAATGAACTGTATTTGTATGATACAAACTGTAACACGGGTACAAGGAACAAAGGCAAAGATTTACCAGTTGGTCTAGGGCAGATACTGACAGCGCAAGCAGCTGTCAGCAACAGCATGGACAAGGGAGAGTTTGAGTAAGTATCTTCTGTCCCAGATGGAGTGCTGAGATCCAGCAGATGCCTTCTGCTTTCCTACCCCTGTTTCCAGATGCTCTGGTTGAAGCTAGTGGCAGACTATCCAAAGCCATCAAAACCAGATTCTTCCCCTAAGTTCAAATCCTGGACTAGGGCTGGATTCCTCAGACCTGAAGTTCAGTGCTCCCCATGCTCCTGGTGCTTCCCAGGTCAGGACACTATCTAGGTTAGTGTACAGTAGGTCACCCTCTCTTTGTGCCTATTAACCTTTTGCAATCTGCCCCACTCATGCTCACAGCCGGGCTTGTATCAAGATCCAAATCTTTTTTGGCAAATCAAAGCTAAAGTGCATCACGGCCAAGGTAGCTGTCACTGCAGCCTGGAGGTTTGGGAAGCCACAGTCAGGGATGTGGTGGGGCAGGACTGCTGGCCTCTGCCCAGATAGGTTTCGCCAAGGTCAACAAGTGGGGAGCCTGAAGTCAACCTCAAAAGGGGCTTTTGTGGAGATATTTCACACCTGGGGGCACTACAGGCACCTGCACATATGGACAGAGTGACGCTTTATAGCAGCCACCCTGGATGGCTGAGGACAAGATGTTCTTGCAAGGCAAAGCACCTTCTAGCAAGATACAGTCCATGCTCCACATAGTTATTAACACTCACAAGAAGTGGTTTTGCTTCATGCTTTACACATTTCTCTCGAGGCCTCTATCTTCTTCGTGCCATTTGCTGGGAGCCCATTTAAAGTGAACTTGTGAGGGTATACCTCTCAGGATGTTGGTTTTTTTATTTTCTTTCTGCAAAGTGAAAGCTGCTTTCAACATTTTACAAGTAATGTATGATTCCAAACATGAAGGCAGGTGTTTATGAAGGGGATGAGAAGTCACTGAAGTGACATTACACTACATTAAGAAATGCCAATAGTAGAACATCTTCAACTGGAATAATGTCCATTTCTTGGCACTGCACCAACAAGCAATACATAAACAATATGAATGTACTCTGGTGCTTTACACTGAAATGCGCCAGCTACATCACCCTGACAAGACACTGCAGTGCCGCTGCCCTCTTGGAGAAGCTTCTGCTTCTCTGAATCTCCATTTGCAGCTTGCCTAAGAGAAGTGGTGCTTTACTGTGCTTAGGGAAATGCAGTTTAGAGTGGTTTTGCAGCAGGAGGTGCTGGACTGATGCCATTCCTGTACCATCTCTTACTGGAGGTGGAAAAATAAGAAATATGCAGTAGTACAGGTAATCTTACATCCCTTTTGATAGTTGGTAGCCTTGAGTTGTGAAGCCTTGAATGGGCCTCCACTGCAAGTGCACTGCACCATGCAGACCCTTTCTGTGGGACGGGTTGTCTCATTTTGGTCATTTGAGCTGTTATAGGGTTTTCTTGGAAAAAAAAAAAAAAAAGAAATTCCATTTATCATTTCTACTTTCAGACAGAAAGGATGTTCACATGACACCTCCTTTGCACATTTCTAGATAAGGACAAGGCCACGCAGGTGGTGTAATTGCTGATATGGAGGGGAAGCTGCTGGCAGCCTGCTCTGTTGCATTGAGCTGAGGTTCTCCTGCAAATAAGGGGTTTGTGTAGCACAGCAGGGGCCCAAAGCCACGCTAGGGGTGCATTCACATGTGGTCCGCTGACTCCTTGGTGTGCAACTCTCCTGGTCAGGATCACTACGAGGGCAACAGGTTTCATTGCGCGCCCTCCCGCCGGCAGGGGGCGCGCTCCCTCCCGCCCCGCGCGCCCCCGCGGCACCCCGCCCGCCCCCCGGCGCGTGCCCGCGCCGTTCTCCGCGGCGTCTCCCGCACCCATGGCCGGCGTCATCCGGCGGCTGGATGAGGCCGTGGTGAACCGCATCGCGGCTGGCGAGGTCATCCAGAGGCCGGCTAACGCCATCAAGGAGATGATCGAGAACTGGTAATAACGCGCGGGGCGGGGCGCGGCCCTGCCTGGTGCGGGCCGGCCGTGCGTGGCGGCGTGTAGCGGGGTGCGGGCGTGGGCTCGGGGGCAGAGGAGGGGCAGTGCCCGTGTGAGCTGTGCTCGTACCGAGCGCACGGCGGGGCAGCTCTGTCCGGGAAGCTGCCTTCCTGTCCGCATTCGTGTTCGATGTGCTTTGTTCTTGTTTGGGAAACTTAGGAACCGTTCGCTTTCAGTGCCAAGTTAGTAATTCACAGGATCACTTAGGTTGGAAAAGACCTCTAAGATCACTGTAAGACTGCCCAGTCCACCCCTAAACCGTGTCTCTAAGCAGCACATCTACACGTCTTTTGAATACCTCCAGGGGTGGTGTCATCTACAAACTGACTAAGGGTACACGTAATCCCCTAGTCCATATCATAAATAAAGATGTTAAACAGAACTCAGTCTGGTGTAGTGAGCTGCATCAGCTGCGTGAAAACAAGCAACAAACTCTGCAGTAGGTTTCAATAGTGGGGAGAGCAGACCTACTTGGACTAGGTACCTCCTTAGTTTTTAAATTTCTGAAAGTTTTTTATAAGTATTGTGGATGGTGATTTAGAATTATGTATCACTGTAGTTAAAAAGGAAGGAGACTGTAAAGATTCGTGTGTAATAAAATAAATTCCAGTATGAGTGATGACTAGAAACAAATTATCACTCGTGTGAGAAAAAATAAATTTTAAATCATCATGTAGTCCTTCATTCTTTAGAATGCTTTCTTGGTTTCTGCAGTTTGGATGCTAAATCTACAAGTATCCAGGTAATAGTTAAAGAAGGTGGTTTGAAGCTCATCCAGGTCCAAGATAACGGCTGTGGTATCAGAGTAAGTAAATAAACTTGACCAGCTGTATGCTGGTGTTTAATATGACCTTTTAAAAATTATTTCAAGTTATAAATGTTTTTGATCCTGAAAAACAAAGTGACTATTGCTTGTCCTTTTCACACAGAAAGAAGATCTGGACATTGTGTGTGAGAGATTTACTACGAGTAAACTGCAAAAATTTGAAGATTTGGCTAGTATTTCTACATACGGTTTTAGGGGCGAGGTAAGCTCTACATCAAAGTTTTGAAACTGTTCATTGTTGCTATCCTGCTGTAGTGGGGTGTACATACTATCTCATTCCCAGTACTCTTTACAGAAGCTTCTGTTTTTTGAGAGTCTGCCATGTGAATGTAGTTCAAAATATATTTTATGTGTCTTTCAATATTAGATGGATGCCTAGGGAGAGGTATGTATTCTTCTTGCTTTCTGGAATAAGTTTGTTTTTTTTTTTTTGAAGTAAAACAAGGCTTGTTTTCTCAAATGCTGCTTCAGGAACCTATAGGTAAAAGACAATGAAAGACCTGAGTGGAAGGTGTATATCTGATGTCAGACATTTGTTCTAAAACCACATGACTGGATGTGTTTAGCTTTCTGTGCCAGATGAACAAGATATATACCTATGTCGCCTGTGCTCATATGTGTAGATCCTTGCATGCTCCAGAGGGTGGGCTGCTTAAGTCCTCTCCTCACACACTTGCAGCATAATCCTTTCCACATCCAGTGGAATTTGGTCCTGAGGCTGGTTTCATCTGTGCAGACTTGTCCACTGAGTTTTCCAGGACAAACATTGTTACCTGACTCTCTAGTATTACCTATGGTCAAGATAAGAACTTGGGTCAAGATGAAGAAATAAGAGCTAAAACCTTCCAGCTGTTTTTTGTTAACAAGAAAGAAAAGAGCCCAAATGTAATATATTTGCAAATTTCTTTTAGTTATATAGTTAACCACTTGCACTTTAAGAGGTAATGAAATGTAAGAAAGGCCAGAAGAAGGTCCCCAGATAAAAGTCAGCATTACAGATATTAAAGTTTGTTAAAGCTTTACCTGCAATTTTCTTCTAAGGGTTTTTATTAATTACTTGCAAGTGGCATATCAAAATTTAGCCACGCTGTTTGAAGTGTGTACACACATCAGCGTTCTCCAGAGCAAGGTTTACAAAGATGCTTTTTCTCTTTCCCTAGGCATTGGCGAGCATCAGTCATGTTGCCCATGTTACAGTAACAACTAAAACAGCTGATGCAAAGTGTGCATTCAGGTGTGCCACCTATGATCCATGTGACTTCTGCTGTGTGGAATAAGGAACATATGTATCTCTTTTCAGTGCTCTTATTAAGGAGGAGGGTAGGGTAAGAGTAGTTACAAAAAAAAGACCTAGAATGTGAGAAAATGTAGTTTGAGTGACTTTGATTTCAAATTGTAAGCGTAAGCTTTAGCTAAACAATGTATTTTAAAAGTTGGGGGTGGTGGGCAGGGAATCTTAAAGATTTCAATTAAATATTTCAGCGGCTAATGTAGGATAAACACTTGTCTTTACCTCCATTTCAGGATAAAATTTCACAATTTGTATGAAACTTTGCATCTGTATAACTTGCTGAAAGACCTACATGGGTCAGAATCTCTTAGGCTCAAAGTCCTATGGATGGAACAGATCTTACAGTAAAGTCAAGAATTTCTTGTTAGTATAACCGAAGTGTAAAGTCTAGTGGAAGAATTGTTATTAGGCCATGTCTAGTTTTCTAAAGAGAGATAAAATGTAATAATCCTGCCTTTACAGGAAAAGTCTCAATAATACAATTTCAAAACACTGCCATTATCTGCCCCTTTTCCACTTCTATTATTCCTACTCCCCCACTGCCCCTATGGCTCTTAAAATCAACGAAAACAGTTTTTCTCTAGCAGAAACGTGGAGGGGAGGGATTAATTCACAGTGGCCCGAATTCATTGCTAGGAGGAGTGTGATGATAATGGGATTTCTTTTGTCTTCTTCCATTGTCATCTTCTGTCTGTGTCTGCCCTCCTCTAAATCTAGGTGTTTGACAACTTTTTATTTTCTGCCTAGAGCTACTTACAGTGATGGAAAAATTAAAGCCCCTCCGAAACCCTGTGCTGGAAACCAAGGAACTCAGATCACAGTAGGCTTTTCTGCCTGTCTCTTTTCTCGTCTCTTTTCTGTTCCCTGGTTATTGGGCTTGCACCAATTTTATTGTAAGATATGTGACAGTATCACCTTGTAAAATATGTTGTTTTGTTGTTGTTGGGGTTTTGGTCTTGTTTTCTTCGCCAAGGTAAATTTCAGAAGATCGTATTCTTTTTTTTCGTTTTTCATTACTTCCTTCTGAGGACAGCATAGTCATTTACTATCAGAAGTATTTCATAGTCCATCTGGACTGCTGAAAACGTCAATGGACAGTTAAGGTTTACAAAAAGATGGGAATATGGAGAGTGGTCTGCACTGTATGCACTGTATGAACCAGAGTGAGATGAGGGCTGGTGCAGGAAACTGCAAAACCACTGTTTTCCAATCATATCGTTCATATATCATAGCGAGACTTGAATATGAGTTGGGATTAGGATTGGCATTAGGATTATGAAGAATAAGGAGCTTGGATTGGGAAGGAATGTGCATTTTGCACAGCATAGGGTGGGAAGGGGAAGTCTGGCCTAGAAGTCTGCAGATGTGTCTCTGCTGATGGAGCATACACCCAGCAAGGTTCACATATTAATGCTTAGGTTAATGTGTCTTAAAAAGAAGCTGGACTTCAAATTTCTTCCTTTCTTGATATAGCAGAAAGATAATTTGCATGTTGTTTAAATAAACAGTAAAAATGTACAGTTTAAGTTCCTGTTCTAATTACATTAACAGCCTTGAGTGCAGCAACTGTTTTAGCATTTCATTAAAACACAGTGTAATCAGGGAATCTGTTGTCATCTTTGGTAGAAGGTATATAACTTTCACTGAAAAGGGAGCTGTGGAGTTGTTATTGGTGAAAATACTGATGTACCAAAATACTTGAAAGCATGTGTTTCACTCGATTAGCATTTTGTTAGGTGAATCTAGGAGGTAAGGAATAAATTGAATGTTGATCCTTCATAAAATAAAGTATTCTCAGAAAATTTATATATAACAAAAATAATAAAATGGATTTAGATTAACTATATAGTAAGAGAAGATTTTTAAAATTATTTGTAATTGTGATCTTTCCCTCTGTAGGTTGAAGATCTCTTTTACAACGTAAATACAAGGAGAAAAGCTTTAAAAAATCCAAATGAAGAATATGCAAAAATACTAGAAGTTGTTAGCAGGTAAACTAAAATAGGAAGCTCCAATTTGGTATACTGCTATGGCAGAAGTATGGAGTTTCTCAGAGGGACTGGCATGTGTGGTTTTGGTGTAATTTTTTGTTGTTGTTGTTGCTAGTTTTGTTGTTAGGCTTTTTTTTTAAACTATTTGTTATTGTGCAGTGTCAGATAAAAGTCCCTCCAATTTGGTGTGAAAAATCCTGAGGAGAAACAGTGTATTCTATCTGGGACTATTAATTATTCATAAGAATTCCATCAAAGAAATGGTGATAGACTTGAACTCTAAATGCACGTGGGTTGAATAGAATCCATGTAAAAACTGCACAGATTGGCAGAATTAAAAAAACCTGAATGGCAATTTCACATCCACAAAAAGGAGTAATATCTCTTTAGCTACTGGATGTTTCTTTCCTTGGCCCCTTGGTTGCATCTTTTGCTGTGTGTAGAGGCTTTGCAAGCAGTATCTACACAGTCTAAACAAAAGAACTGCTTCACACTTTCAGAAAACACAAAAGGTAGCAAACAGTAGCAAGACTACACCAAGGGGTTAGCCTGTTTCCCAAATGAGCTATTTAAGAATCTTTACTTGTCAGGCAGACTTCAGTCAGGAGGTGGAGGGTGGGGTCCTGCTGCTCTGTGGAACAGCATGATCTAAAGTCTTGCTGAGTTACAAGCTTCCAGCTCATTGGTATTTTGTTTTTCTCATTGGAATGTTTCTGTTATTTAATTTTTTTTTCTCTTGAATTTTTGAATTCCTGGTCACAGCAATCTATTCTCTGTCTGCATTTTTACATTTCTCATGTTGCAAGGTTCTATGGTGTGTTTGTTTCTCAAAATGCAGTGACTCCCTAGAAGTTTGAGCCAAGGTTACGCAGCTGCAGTGTATCAGAACTCAGCCCTGGGACCACAGGCAACTGAACCATCTGGGTAGGGGAAGTTAGAAGGGCGAGCTGGCCATTACTGAGATCCTTCTCCATAGTAGTTGAGACTTGAGTCAGTTATATTGAGGACATTTTGCTGGTTTTATTTAGTTAAACCTATGAAGTCAAATTGAACTAACCAGGCCTACAGAGGTTGATCCTTTATTTTGAGAAATAAGCTAATGTGATCCTTGAATTTCATGTGGTGAGCTATAAATAGAAGACAGTTAATTTTTATAATAGTTTAGTCTACAAAAGCTCAGTTTGGCTCAAATCATGTTACTGTCTAAGAGGAAGTGAAGTTGCTTGTGCCCATTACTAGCTGCTTTTCAGCAATCAGGGCAAATAATCTTTTCTCTCACATACTGCAGACTTATGTTTACCTGTTTTTCAGGTATGCCATTCATAACTCAGGCATCAGCTTTTCAGTTAAAAAGGTGTGTGGATAAAATCTTTCTAACTTCAGTGTGTATCTGTGTATATATACATAATATGTATATATGAAAATTTGCACTGCATCGTTTGCAATAGGAATAGCACACAGAGCTTTCCCAGGTACTAAAATGTTGAACTGTACATTGATGCAGTTTGGATAGAAAGCACATCAGTTAGAAGTAAACAAGAAAAGTTTGTCAGGAGTTGGAAATTTTCCATGTGGTCAGCATTATGTTTTGATTTAGCTTTATGAACTGTTTCAGCTGCTCTTGAGAGTCTGATTACAAATTACTGTATGAAAGAGGATGGGGTAGATGTTCTGTGGCATTCTTGATAATTATTTACTGAACTCCTCATTTTCCAAGATGGATTTACTAGCCTGAATGGATCTGATGTGCTCTAGCAAATTTTGTAAAGCTGTGCCATTTACCATCTATTGCTTTTTTGAGCATAAATAAGTAAATAAAAATATGAAAACATTATTATGATATGTTCCATGCCTTTGTTTTAGAAATGCTATTGTTTAGATTTAAGTATTTCTAAAACTTCATCCAGAAATATGAATTGATTGGTATTCATTTATTCTCTTCAGCAAGGTGATACCATGTCAGATGTTAGAACCCTATCAAATGCCTCAACAGTGGACAACATTAGATCCATCTTTGGAAATGCTGTTAGCAGGTACGTTGATGTCAAGTTTACTTTTGACATGAAGTTTTCTAGTGAATCATCCTCCCTTTCTCTTTAAAGACCGTAGGTTGTGCTAACTTTTCTTGTTTCCTTCGAGGTGAATTGCAGGGAAGAGAGAGTGCTGCAATAAGAGAGCTCTCCTCTCTCTTCAAGAACGTATAGCTTTTCCTTCTGTACTGAAGGGAAGAGGGAAGTCACAAAGTTGTTCCTTTAATGCACTGAGAGGGAACCATCTCCTTGTAACTACCTGCATGCTCGTGCGAAAACAGCAAGCTGAACCTGTGTTCTCTACAAGTTCCTAGGCTCTTGCTATGCTGTGAAAATCTTATTGCTTCTTACCAGTCTGCTATCCAATAAATTTTAAAGCTACTCACAGTAGTTTTTCTGAAATTTTATGGTTTCTTATTTTGACAAAAGCTGCATTAGCTAAGGCTGTGTAAATCAGACAGAAAAGTTAAAAACAAATAAAACCAATCATCTTTTGAAGACATATCTGCCACTTTAGGAAAAACTTTCTCACATTCAGCTGTGAAGAGTTCATGGAATGGATTTGTCCCACAAATACTTGGGTGTCACTTTGATTCTGTTACTGAAGTCACTTCAGATATAATGAATGTAACTTTTAATGGAAGCACCTTTAGGAAGCACAACAAACTAGAGAGGCTGCTTAGTATTAAAGCTTGTGGTGTTGTTTTTATTCTTTGTTAAGCATTTGTTTTTGTCTACTACGGATGCTCTTTTGATACAGTTTTTCCTTTGTACGGTTCAGCACAGTCCATTTCAACTTAAATGCTTTGGTCATTTGTTTTCAAGCAAAAATTCTATGTTACCCAGTTGAAAATGGTGTTATTTTTACTCTAAAAATGAACATTGATAAAAATCAATTATAAAAATGGTGCTCAGTATATATTGAGGTTGAAGTGGAAATAGTCTTTTCTGTGTTAAATTTAGAAATTGACATAATGCCTTGTTAGAGAGCTATGCTCACAAACTACCAAAGTGGATTTTCCTTAACTAATGAATCATGAAAATTATTAAAACTGTTATGAAAATAGTTAATATTAGGATCTGTATGCATGAGCAAGAGAAAAGTTTTCACATTTAATGACTTCCCAACAGCCCATCAAGAAATATTAGATTACAAAAGCAGGCAGAGAAGTCCAAGAAAAAATGTGTTCTTCCCTGGCTGCTGACAATTTTGAAGTGTCCTATCACTGTCAGTGACTTACACAGAGAAATGCATATTAGAATTATCAATACGTTATAACATTATGAATACTGTGATGTGGTATTAATGTTAGTATTTTACAGACTCCAGTCATACAACATTACTAGTTTACACTTACTTAGGAAACAAAAGCAATTCAGTTCAGGCTAAATAATCATTGTGGCCTAGCAATGAATGCTTGAATTCTCAAATAATTTTAATGTTTTCATTACTGTGATATAAATAAAGTATAGTACAGTATATCGCTACTTGTGAGTACTGTTTGAAATTTCCATCAACAGAAGAATTAATTTTTTGTTTGTTTCTATCAAACTTAATAGGGAACTGATAGAAGTGGGCTGTGAAGATGCAAATCTGGCCTTTAAAATGAAAGGTTACATCACGAATGCAAACTACTCTGTGAAGAAATGTATATTTTTACTCTTCATAAACCGTAAGTTTGAAAAAAAAAAAAAGGCACCATTTTGTACAGCCGTATGTTGCTTACATAATAATCAGAAGGACAAAACCTTCTGCAGACCTACAAATTTATAAGCCTTCTTAAACACATTTTGAAGAATAAGTATCTCCATTAATTGTAGATCCTAAAGTGTTTTCAGATTTGCAATGTGCATCATGCTTTGCGCTGTAAATAATAAAAGCAGCTAAAACTGGGCCTAAAGAAACTTAAGCTTTGGAGTATCGAGGTTATGATTGTGTCCTGCCAACTTACACAGAGTGATCTCTCCATTCAGTAAGAACACTGACATGAGGTGCAACAAACCTTGACTGTATTGAAGTAATGAAAAGGTAGTTTGGTTTATTTGGTATTTGTGGGAAAAAATACTTATAAAACACACTAAGATAATACTGTCTCTTCCTGGTTTTATATGAAGAATAAATAGGCCTCAGGGGGGAAAATGGGTATAATAGATACCCTTTAAAGATACCAAGCGTGAAGGTGTTGGTCTGAAGGAGTAGTTGGGTGCTGTGCAGTGTATTTCAGTCGGGCTCTTCGGAAATAGCCTTTTGTTCTGTGTTTCAGATCGGTTGGTAGAGTCAGCTGCTTTGCGGAAAGCCATAGAAACTGTGTACGCTGCTTATTTGCCAAAAAGTACCCACCCATTCCTATACTTAAGGTAAAGTAATAGGAAGAAGTAGCCTGTTAATGCTATCTCGTAAGATATAGCTAGGGTGAGTAGGTTTAGAAGGACACTTCTGTTCCTGATAATAGTGTTAAGCACTGCACTGAGGTAATTAATTGCCAGACAGGAGATAATTAAATCACATTAAATCTTAAGAAGACAGACCTTATTTTAGAAATAGTGAATGTCTGTAATTCAGCTGAAGTCCTTTCATATTAATTCATGATACACTGCACGTAAAAGATATTTCTAAAAATGGGGGTTTGTAGTTGTAAAATAGAGAGATTAGTTTAAGCTTACCTATGTAAACTGATTTTGGTGAGTTTAGAATAGACTCCTTCAGATTAATTATTTTTAATGTACTAAACAAATATGACTGTAACGTAACTTTAGCAGGTTTCAGCATCTTTTTGACTTCTTTGCACAGAGTAATGCCCTCAAGCTGGAGAAATTTTGTACTGAACCAATTTTTGCTCTCTCTGCCATCCATGGGATATTTTAGGTTAACTTCTTTTAAAATGTTTTTCAGTCTGGAAATAGCCCCACAAAACATAGATGTGAACGTGCACCCTACAAAACACGAAGTCCATTTTCTTCATGAAGACAGTATTCTAGAGCGTGTGCAACAACATGTGGAGAGCAAGTTATTGGGCTCTAATTCTTCAAGGATGTACTTCACTCAGGTGAGAACATGTATGAAGTGACTGCAGCTCTGCACTATTTTAACCATCAGGGATACATTTACTCTGTTCAACAGTACAGTCTATGCAGGGATTGGTAATCACCAGTGGTTCTACTGGTACCTTGAGATCTTTGCTCTCTGTTTCAGGGAAGAAATTGCGTTAGTATACCAATGTTAACAATGCAGCAAAAGAGAGAAAAAAAACTATGAAAACATTTTAAATACTTTTGTGTCAAGTACCTGACCAGTCTTCTTGTTTTTACAAGTATGTTGGCCTTCCAAATGTAGTAAATTGATTTTGTATTCTGGCCTGGTTTATGTGAAGATGTGACTGAGGAAACTGTTCTGTGTATTTGACAACACTTTTAATCTGACCAGAAAAAAATCAGGAAGATTTTCTAATCTCTCTTTATGTAGAACATAGCATAGGAATTACGATAATTTTTTTTTCCTTTGAGACAAAGGAATGTTAACTAATGCTTTTAGCTGCTAAGATGATGACATTCACTCTATGTGGATAGCAGATGCAAAGCTGATGGCCTGTTTAAGCAGTTGACACTGTGTTTGGGGGGTTTCAGACTTTCCTCTGAGCAGTAGGATACTGTGAGAAGTGTGGCTGATCTTTCTGGTTTTGTTTTGCTTTTTTTTTCTTACTGTTCAATCTCTTCACTTCCTCACATCTGTCTGAATGAAGACATTGCTTCCAGGGCCTGACTGTTCTTCCAGTGAGGTTGTAAAGTCAGCAGCCAACTCTTCTGTGGTTACCAAAGGAACCGGTGATAAAGTTTACGCGCATCAGATGGTCCGCACTGATTCCCGAGAGCAGAAATTGGATGCTTTTCTTCAGCCAGTGAACAACCCTCCAAATACAGGCCCTACTGAAGTGACAGCAGAGGTTAATGCAGGACCTCTGAAGGCTGCAAGCAGACCACAGGATGCTGAAATGGAAGAAGTCAGTGATGTGGTTGAAATGGCTGATGTTCAGGAGGACGTAGGGAAGCCTGGAGGGCTGAGTGAGAGTGGGCACTTGTCTCCTGAGTCAGTGCCTTCTCGGTAAGTCTCATCTTTCCTGTGGTGGTGCAATGCTACTTATTTATTTCATAGCATGGTCCTGAAACTGTAGATTGTTCTGATCTCTTTGGAATTCTGCTTTTCCAGAAGGGAAACATTTCCTAGAGTAACTCTTCATGACATTTTATTGAGAAATGAAACTTAATCTGCGAACTGTAAATTACGTAACTTGTGATAAATTTTGTAAATGGAATGGGATTTCCATTCATGCTGGAAGGCAGGAAGAAGTATAAATAATGAGAATTAGTTCAGGGAGGTCATACTGGTCTGTCTCTCTTTGGAGGACCCCCATCCTACTACATGAGAAACTACATCACTGAATCTTGCAGAGATTACCCTAGTGAAGATAAAATTGCAGCTCCTGCAGGAGCTGTTATGAGAGGCCAAAGTCGTCTGATGGAATTTGATTTTGCCCTCTCCAATATTACAGAAAAATGACCATGGGAAAAAAAAATCATTAGAAATATCAACATTTTTTCGATATGTCCTTTAGAGGCCAATTTGCTTGGTGCTTAAAAAGTTGTCTGATGTAATTGGTATTAGTGTGTCATAAATTCTCTAAAAATTCTTAACTAACTTTTCCTAACAAATTATACCTTGGAAGCAAAATAAAATTGTCTGTTGTTCTGGAAATCCCTGGGAAACTTCCTGCATTCCTTGTGTTAATGTACAGCATGTGAATTGAGCATCCCATCTGTTGCTGTGTTTTGCCTAAGTGATAGGAGAATTGACCTAATTCTTTTTGGTTTGGTATCACAGAAAGAGACCACGGGAAGACATAGACATAGAAACGGAGAAAGATGACACCAGAAAGGAGATGACTGCTGCCTGCACCCCTAGAAGAAGAATTATCAATTTGACCAGTGTATTGACTCTCCAGGAGGAAATAAGTAACCAGGGGCATGCAAGTAAGCAAGACTTTTGCTTCCCAAGATTATTTTTATTCCACCAACTCAATACGATTGTTTGAACTGCTGAGGAAAAAGGTATTTAAAAGGAGGCCCAGTCACTTCACTGTGCTGCTAAGCAAGCTTTTAACAAAAGCTTTTGCTTTTCATTTTGATTTGTATCTGTCCCACTTACATGGAATGATGAAACTGATAAAATATTATTCTCTTTTATGGTAAAAATTGTTATCGTAATAACTTTTTTATAAATTACTAAAAGTCTTGAACTTTAAGAAGCATATTCTTACACTTTACTTGTGCTTCAGAAAATGTTTTGCAGAAGACTGGTAATTCTGAGCCAGTAATTCCATATCTGACTGTCATTGTTTAAATACTGAAATCAGAGAGTTGTCCCTGAGCCACAAAATACCCAAAAATGTCTCAAAATACACAATAGAACTTGTGAAGCTCCCTGAAGTTGTGTCTTGCCTTCACATGTGTAAGAATTACCTGTAAGAGACTTTGGAGAGAAAGAAATCCCTTCTCACAATGTTACCTTTTCCAGTGGAATTTGGGTAGTGTAGTGCTTTGTACATGCTGTGACTGCAGTGCTGAACTTCTGTAACGAAGCTGCTCCCAAGGATGGCAACTAGTGAATTTTCTTTGTGGAATGCCTAAAATGAACTCTTAAATGGAATCTGACTTCTCATAGCTTTCCCAGCCTTCTCATTTATAAATACTAAAAAAACTTACTTTGTGAGAGAAAAATAAAAAAAATATGAAAAAGGAAATTATGGACCTATTCTATCACAGTTTCAGAATTTAGTCTGACAGTACTAGATTGTGTTGTAAAGCTGGTTTAAATCTGCAGTTTTCTTTGAAGTACGTCTGTTCTCCCTCACTAATCTCCTGTGGCTAGAAATTAATTTTGGAAGGCTATTCAAACACAGGGATTTTAATATTTTTTTTTTAAATTTGCATTTGTAGTTTAACTGTTTTATAACTGTTCTCATAGATGCTTTAATAGTATGAGTGTGCATGGACATTATTAATATTTCAAAACATGAATAATTGGTAAGACAAGCGGATAAGAAGAAGCAGGGATATAGTAGTGGCTGAACAATAATCTGTGACTTTAATGCTAAAAAGACACCACTCAACTGAATAAATGAGGGCAGGCTTACAAATATGAAATTATATCCTTTTGGTTTTTCCCCACCCTTCTGTTTTTTTCAGAACTTCAGGAGATGCTACGTAATCACTCCTTTGTTGGCTGTGTCAGTCCACAGTGGGCTCTGGCCCAGTATCAGACAAAACTGTACCTTCTCAATACAACAAAACTCAGGTAAAGAAGCTGTTAGACTTTTTGGCAGCTGAAATAAGTACCAATTACGAAGCTAATTAGAAGAAGGAAGGAAATGACAAGAAAAACAACATGGCTCTCTTGTTGCCTGTCCGAAAAGTCGTGAGGCTAAAGATTTAAGCGTTCCGTTTGGAACAGTGGAAACAATTCTGGCACACGTGGGATAAGTCGCGAGGATTCAGTGTAATTAAAATGCCAGCTACTGTATTGTTTGCTCACAGACAGTGGGAAGGGAAAGGCTTTTTCTTGCTTTATGATGATCTGTCTCCATGATCTATGATCATCATCATGATCTGATTCAGAATCATATCAGCGCATTGTATAAAGATGAGCAAGCAGAAGCTTCAGAAAAGTCCTGTAAAACATTGTATCCAGTTGGGTTAAGAGTATCTGCAGGACATGATTGTAACACAAAGTTTTTAATTTTGCAGGTGCAGCCTTACAGGGCCAGCTACATAAATTTTGTAACAAATCAGAGAATATACTTGAGATAGACATGTCTATCAATTTCCCAGCTCCTGTGCATTTCTTGCAGTGCAGCAAAGAAGTTGAAATATAAGTTATCAGGGAATAAATTGATATTGGCAGGATGCTTCAGCATGTAACATTTCTGCACCAGTGTGACTGATGATGTCAGAAGCCAAGAAATAAATTTAAATGTAAATATCTAGATAGTGCATGTGAATCTTTAAACTTTTTAGTTAAAGATCTTTATTAATATGACTGGATATGTACATCTCATGTTTCTGGGATGATTCTTATATTCCCTTCTTAATTATGGTAACTTGAAGATATGTGATCCTATCCATACAACTAATTTTTGTGCTTCAATTTAGCCAGGAACTCTTCTACCAGATACTTATTTACGACTTTGCAAACTTTGGAGTCTTAAGGTTATCTGTAAGTATAATTTTACATTACATCCTACATAACAAAGTTTTTTTTAAATGTATTTACATTAAGTCTGTCCCTTCAGACAAATGCATAGTTTTATTTGCATGGTCCAGTTGGTTATAGTCCACTACAAGAGTATTGTTTTGTTTCTTTTATGGTAAGAACAGAATGTAGAATACTCTTAATTTTTTGTGTCTTCTACTGTTAAATTATCATCCTGGGTGCTTGTTATTGGTGCCACTTGTAGATATTCACCAAGTTTTGCTGTTGCTCATTACATTAGGACAAATAATTAATTTGAATACACAATCTACAGAAATATAGTGTTGATTGCCAGTACTTATCCTGCAGAACTATCAGAAAGAAATTAAAACCTTTTTAGACTGGTTATGATAAACAGAACTGTTTGTTCTGCAGGGCATATGTGGCATATTGCAATTAGTTAGTATGTGAAGAAAGAATTTCTTTCTTACAGATTTCCAATAGACCATGCTGTTTGTTAAGAAAAGTTTTGCCTTCTCCATTTTTAGGAGCCAGCTCCTTTATATGAGCTTTCAATGCTTGCTTTAGAGGATCCTGAAAGTGGCTGGACAGAAGAAGATGGCCCAAAAGAAGGGCTTGCTGAGTACATTGTGGAATTTCTGAAACAGAAGACTGAGATGTTGAAGGATTATTTTTCTCTCGAATTTGATGAGGTGACTGCTGCTATTACTGACAGTAAATGAATGGTGGACTTGGCAGCGTTAGGCTTACAGTTCTACTCGATCTTAAAGGTCTTTTCCAATCTAAATGATTCCCTGATTCTACATTTTGGTAACAGATAACTGCAATAGTTTGTTTGTAGTACTTAGTATCACTAAGAACTAGCTCTGGACAAATTTAGGTGGCTTACCCCTTTCATTAAAAAGGCTCAGGATTTATGCTGCCTTTAAGAAGGGTGCTACACAAAGTTTATATTTAACTAGTTACCAAGTCACAGAATGGGTAAGGTTGGAACCCATTCGCAGTGAGTGATGAGGTTCAACCTCCCTGCTCAAGCAGGGTCATCCTTAAGCACATTGCACAGGATTGCATCCAGTTAGTTTTTGAATGTCTCCAGTGAGGGAGACTCGACAGCATCTCTGGGCAATTCACAATTTAGTCATTGCTTCCATAACTAGAATGCAGATTTCTTAACCAACAGGTGTGAGCTGTTTGTTAAGAGCTGTTGAAGCTTAACCAGCTCCTGAGCAAGGCAGGGCTGCAGAATCACCGTGTTTCTCAATGTCTCTCTTTTTTTGTGTGTGGCCTAATGCATCCCTTACTTTATACAAAATTGAACAGCTTCATACAGCCCAGGCACTTCATTTGGATGTTTTCCTGGGAAGTGGGATCTGCGTAGTCAGTTGCTAGAGCTAGAGGAAGAGGATGAATTCATGTTTTCCTTAGTCGAGTGAGTTGAATCCATGCCTTGTGAAGTTAAAGTGCCACTAACCTCTTCCTGCAATGTCTGCCTGGCATCAGGCTTTAAAAACTTGTAGCTTCAGATACTCTTAAGGCTCACTGAGTTTGGTAAGAATCAATCTTATATCAAATGATAGTTTTGGTGCATTTACTGCAAAAAAGAACATTTTTTTTTAATGAAGCATCAATGTTGCCTGGCAGGAAGGAAATCTTATTGGGTTACCACTTCTGATAGACAACTACGTTCCACCAATGGAAGGACTGCCCATGTTTATCCTTCGATTGGCCACAGAGGTATATTCTCTCAATGATTTTATTAATTTACAATTACTTTGGTAACTTCACATTTAAGCAGCTCCACCCTTTCCTTTGCAGTTTCTGGTGCAGCGTAAATGTACTGTCACATTTTCCAGATGCTTTTGCTATGGTTACTGAATAGTTGTGCTTTGCCTCTGTATTAATAACTCCTGACTGAATAAGCCTGTATTTTGATTTAAAAGCCTACACTCCTACCCTTTTTTTGTTCTATTCCTTTACCTTATCAGCACAAACATGGCCAATACATATTAAGACTCTCTATCAAGTCTCTGACTGCTACGCAGATTCTATAAAATGACTTGTTTTTCTTGTAACAGGTAAACTGGGATGAAGAAAAGGAGTGTTTTGAAAGCCTAAGCAAAGAACTTTCCATGTTCTACTCCATCAGAAAGCAGTATATAATAGATTATGCCAACCCAACAAACTCTCAGGTACAAGAATACTGTAACTAGCCCTATGAACAATTAACAACCTATAGGAAACTTCTGCTCTTTCAGCTGTAGACTTCTAATCCCAGCTCTTTCAGTGAAGTGAATCAAGTAGCAGTGTGGCAACATTCTGCAACAAAGTGGCTTAAATTTTCTGAGGTATTACCCATATTGAGAGAACCTTTTAACTTTGGGGCATTGCAGTGTACCTAATATTATTACAAGAATCCTTGGCCTCTGAGTTTTGGATGCATTTTTATGGTATATCTCTATAGAATAATAAGGATGTGTATAAATTAAAGATGACTGTGTCTAAATATCTGCTTAATTATTGCGCTGAGCTCACCCATTCTGCAATGACTTTACAGACCTTAAAATGAACTTGACTGTATAGCATGAGCTTCTCTAATACTAGCAGAATTTTACAGTTGCTGCAGTTTTACATAAAATTTTTAAAGGAATGGTCTCCTCTTGTAAAAGAGAACTTCAGTTTAATTATTTGTCCTTTTTCTTCTGTATTTCAGAATGAAGATTCTGACTCTGGTTCAAAACCATGGAAATGGACTGTGGAACATGTGCTTTACAAAGCTTTTAGAACTCATCTTTTGCCTCCCGAACACTTCGCAGAAGATGGCAACATTTTGCAGCTTGCTAACCTGCCTGACCTGTATAAAGTTTTTGAAAGATGTTGAGCAAGTAGTTATTAACGACTGGTTTTTTTAGATAGGCACCATTCCTGTTATGTTCAGTTTTTCATAGTAAAAGATAAAGCCGGAATCTTGATGGAGGAAAGAAAAAGAGGGGATTTAGTATCATACTAAACTACTAACATGACAGCAAATGGTCTATTTTCCTTCTGTTGATCAAAGTATAAAAAGAATAATTTTAGCTTTGTCTAAACCCAATCAAAGTTTCTAAAATAAAATCTCCACGTATGCTCATAGTTTCCCTATTGACCAATCTGCTAAGAGAATACAGCTTCTACTGCAGAAAATTAATTGGGTTAAGTGACTGTGAAAGAAGATGGAGCTTAATTTAGTTGAAATGTGAGTGCTTTAACTTTGCTTGAAAGATAGGGTTTGAATTTTTTTTTATTTTTTTTTTATTTATTTTTTTTTTTTTTGCTTCAAATGGTTTATTGTTACTGGCATCTGAAACAGACCTTGGATATTCTGAAGCAATGTAAGTGATAAACTTCATCCTGGCTTTGTTGTTTTTTTTTTTTTTTTCATTCAGTAATCACAGAAGAGAATTTTAGAAAGAGCAGACTGAAGCTGGTGTATCAGCTTACTGCCTTCAATGTATATATACCTTCAGTGTGAAGGAAGCTAGACTGCGTAACCTTCTAGTCACATTCTTACTTACAGAACTGTTATCTGGAACAAAAAGGGAGGTGATGACTTTGCTGTAAAGGCTTAATAGTAGTTAAAGTGAAATAAAATATCTGTGAGGGTATTCTCAAAACATCTTTTTTTATGTAGCTCTTGCTACATAAAAATGAAGCTCTTGCAGACTTCACTAGCATCGCTTTCATTTCCATCTCATCCTTTCCTTTGCCCCTTGTACTGCCCCCAGAATGCTTTGTCGGTGCTGTAGCCTCAACTCAAACAGAACTGACCAAGTGACCGTGTTTATGACTCTAGCTCACTTTTAATAAATGATCTCCCAGCCCACTTGTAATGTCTCATACCCAAAGCTTAAAAGTGAAGAGAAATCCTGCATCCACACAGCCCTGAACATTCCTATCCATCTGCGATTTCATGAAGTTCTTGGCTGTTTGACAGCTGCAGTGGCTTACATGCCTCTGCTGCTGGTTTACTGATTTGCTGAAACTGAAGAAGTGAAAAATCCTGTAAACTGAAACAGTCACCTCTGCTTCAAGGAGAAGCTGTGATATGATGAGACCACAGCTCACCTTGTCTTCTGCCTGCTAAGCTGCTGTCCCACAGCAGTGGAAATACTACAAAAAAAACATGGCCCACATGCATGAGTGAGTTAACATGAGAGGAACAGACAAACAATGACTGACTACCTTCCCATCACTACTGGTGTAATATCAGTGTTTGCAAAGGCTCACTCCAGTTTCCTCCTTGAACCTGAAGAACATAACCACTAGTACAGGAGTGGGAACCAGGTTACTTCAAAGAGCTCCTTAAATCCTTTTGATCTCACATATGCAACAAAGTATTGATGTGCCACCAGCACAGCATCCCTACAGGCAATCAGCCCTATAAGCACATTTTGCACAAAATCTTATTATCCCACAAGAAATAAAGGAGTGGTGTATGCAGATTTTCTAATGACAAAGCAACAAAATATCATTATACATTACGCATGTTTTAACATCTTTATTTTAGAAAGTGAACATATCCATTAAAAAAAAAATGCATGGAGTTAAAAGTAAACATAAAACTAATGACAAATTGCAATAACATAAAATAATTTTATCTAGTGAGCCCCAACAATTATTAAATATACTTCCACCACAGAGAAGTTTTACTTCATTATATTACCAGTCTCTTGATTAGGTACACAAGACAACACTTTCCAGTAATTACCTAGTCATTAGAAGATCAACTTCAGGAATCACGGAATAATAAAATACATTGTGGACGAATACTTTCATACCACCTGGGAGGCAACCTAATATACATATGTCAACAAGGTACATCTTCATGAGGTATTACAGTACATGGGAACCATTCCCTTTACTTTCTAAGGAGTAAATTCTCCTGTCAGCAGCTCCACCAGCAAGTCAGCCACAGACTCCGTTGCCAGTTTCCAAACCCCAACAACTTCCAAGATTTTCTTTCTGCAAGAGAATGCACAAGTCAAGATGAATGAAGATGGGAGTAAAGAAAACAGATACTGTAAACACAGAGGGTGAAAGAAAAGGTCATCCACTCTTCCAGATGAGAACTTCAAATCAGAAGCTTCAGCTTCAAGAACCATTTAATACCTCCCCTACCTGGAGCTTTGCTGTGCGTGGTGAAAAGAAAGCACGGGGCAAGATAATTCCAGAAGTAAATGCAGTAATTTCCAAAATAAGGAAATAATCTCTCATATTTAAACAAGGTATACAAAAATCTTAAGATGCAGCTCGTCCAAGTGTAACCCAGTTGTAGTATTAAACAGACTGAGAAGGGGAAATCTCAAAGTAGTTTTGCCCATGAAGTCTTTAACTGCACTAGACCTAAACCAAAGCAAATCTCTTCCCAGTACTCTTGCATTGCCATCTGAAAACTGCTAAGAGAGATAAAGTGAGTTCAAAAAAGGTGTTTGAGTTAGCCCACCATTCAAATTATTTGTGAAGGAACTAAGAAGAAAAACATACTTTTAGGAATATCCAGGTCCTATGCAAAGGAACTTACCTGCTTTCTCATATTTGCTATACAATTGGTTTTTCACTGTCTTGTTTTTCTTCCGAGTCTTCATCAGATCCTGAAAAGGAAGACAAGAATGCTATTAGATCAGCTGAGAGAAGAGAAAGAAAAAAAAGGATGAAGGGAAAAAGAAGAAATCAGACCACCACTGGTAGTGGCTTATCAAAAGGCAATTCAAAGCAACCATTTCCCATAAAAATATTTACTTTTTATTTTAGATTTCTTATCTTTTCAAATGTTTCACACTGAAGGTTGTGTTTTTTTTGTAACAGTTAGCAAACCCAAAACCCAGCAGTGGGATCCTTCATGAAATATCCTGTCAATGGATTCAGTCAGGTTTCAAATTTTCATGACAACATACTCAGGGTAATCAACTCCACATTTACTCACTGACAAGCAGACTTTCCCACTTGTTACGCCCTGCCCTTTGGAAGACAACTTCAGAAGACACTTTCGAAGCAGCCACAAATACTGCTTCTACAAATTAATAAATTCTGTAATCTAGTGTTTTGACAAGAGATTGTCTCACTCTAAGCCACAAACCAAACAGCTCCCTCTGCCTCTCCCTGCCCACTTCTCTTTTCCTCATGCCCTGCCCACTTTCAGCTCTCTGCTTTGACAAAGCCCTGGAAGGCCTCAAAGAGAAAGCTTAGCTAGTCACAGGGCTACCTGCCCAGAGACAGCTCCTGCTGGAAGCACTGCTTTGAAGGAAGGGGGGTTGATGGATCAGTCACTTTCAGGAAGAGCAAGAAGACAGGAAGCAAGCAGGGTGAGCAGCTCTGACCCCCATTTCCTGGACTTCCAGCCCAAGCCACAAATGTCTGTGTCCACATCTGAGGTGGCAGTCAGTTCTGGCAGCAATCAGCCCTTGTCAGGGACACCTGAGGAAATTAACACCACATGCCTTTCACCACACATGTCTTGGGCAGTTTAAATGAGACTCCCAAAGAAAAAAAAATCCAACAAGATGAGTAAAGAACTGTCTTTGATAAAATGCCTGTAGACTTACTTGGGCTTTTGGCTTGAATTTAAAGCTGAACTACGTACACACATTCCGTCTCACAAAGGAGAAGGACAGACAAAGGGGTTAAGCTCTTTCGTTTTCAAAAGTTACTCTGAAGTTTTTTCATTTCTTGTAATAGCTTATCTGCCTTTTGTTTTGAAGCTCAAATTGTACAGAACCTGAATAAATTTACACTTTCCTGGCTGATTTCCCACTTGCTACCTCCAGAACAGTTACCTGGTAACCAAGTCTGATGTTGAAGGATCAATCCTTCTTTATATAAGAAGTGGGCCTGGGGTATAGCCCTGGACATGTGTAGCTTCAAGAAAGATAAGTTTGCTAAAAATTCCAACAGAACCCCTTTTAAACATTACCTCCTAAAAGCAAATATTTGTTTTTATAAATGTTGCTGTGTCAGCAGAGGGGTTTATTCCCCTCTGAATGATCACAGGGAATAGTTTCTTCCTAAATATTTTTCAAATCAATATCTAAGACAAACTGACCAAACTTGCTCTCTTAACACCAATCCATAGTTTGTCTTCTCAGAAACAAATGCAGATCTTTGAAGAAAGTATTTTAATTTTGAACTATTTTTACTATATATTATCTATCAGTTTCACTTTGTGACTACCGGTGTGTGTGTCTAGTTCAAATATATCGATATGACTGTTTCTTTTAATCCTCATACCCACAAGGGGTGCTTGAACAAAGCAGTCAGGGCAGACTAGAAGGCACCTGAGCTGTTATTGAATCCCATTTGATAAGCTGAAATTAATGGCACAATCATACAGCTGTAGACAACACATGCGTGCTGAGACACGATACCTCACTGCACTTGCAACACTGACCCAGCCAAAATGTCTAAAAAAACATGTTAGCTCCACTTACACTTCCTCTCACACTGTACATTCTGTTGCCAAGAAAAACCCCCAGGCTGAATCCAGTATAATTTTTCCAACCATTACTCCTCAAAATAACTCACAGTTTTATCTAAAATCCATTTTCACTTCGAATTATTAGTTATACTTGACATTAATACTTTGCCACCCCTATATGGAGCTCGAAGTCATTCATTAAGCCAAAATGCTCAGCAGAGAGAAACCACACAGACAGACATTAAAATGAAAAATATAACCAACCTGTATAACTATATAATGCAAGAGAGGCAAACTTATCTGTAGCAATTAGCAGATATTATTTTAATTATACTGCATAATACAGCACAGCTTTACAGAAGAGATTTATATCTTAGGGCAAAAAGACTGACATAGGATTTGTGGGTTCACACTACATTCTCAGGTAATTCAAATCCACTCCACCCACAGAGAAATCACTCATTTCCTTGAAATGCTTGCAAACGCATTCTGAAATCTTGCGGTATTTACATTTATTTTTGACTTAGCTCATACCTTAAATAGAGTAAAGCATATGATACACAGAGTGAAGATGTAATTAAACATAGCCACCAGTTTAAATATACCCACACAGCTAAGACTTCTTACACAGAGTGGGCCTTTTCTTTTTGTTATGAGAAAAGAAAAAAGCCTCTGATTG